ATTTTTGCAATATAAAATATTATATACGCAGTAGTAGTCTTTAAGGCGATTTAAATATGTTGTGGCTCTTGGATTGGGAAGACAAATCGATGTTTTGATATAGCAGAGAAATTTATAGAGACTATTATTATATACAGATATGACCCCTGCGATAGCGGTTCGGGTGATATCGAAAGAAAAAATATAACACGCTTTGCTTATTAACCTTAAATTTATGATATTATGAATAAATATTTGGAGTTTTAGATTTCACATAAAAAATATTATTTAAAATTTTGTTGCTCACTTAAAGAAATGATTTTTCTAAAAATTAGTTTTTATCAAAAAAAATTAATAAAATGAACATAAGGTGTAAAATATTCCTTTTTAAATATTGAATTGTTAAATAATTTCTATATCTAAAAGTCTTATAGTATAAAAAATATAATTAATTTCTTTTAAATAAAATTTAAATTACCACACATTATGTTTGTTTACGTTTATAAGGATTCAAGAATTGCGAAAAAAGTATCTGAACCATCTGTGGTGTACAAAATGTTGAAAATAATAATTTCCAAAAAAATAAATAACTTCATGGATAAAAGTGTTAAAGCAAAAAATGTTAAAAAATCGGAAGTAAAAAAGTTGCTCTCTTTTATTATCAAAATTTTGTAATAATTTATTTTTTATAAATTTTTTATTGAGGGAATTTAATATGAAATTATTAAACATTTAGGCTACTTTTGACGTAACTTAAGACTTAAGGCACATGGGCCAAACAAGAGGTCCGGTAAGTTTAATTTTTTTTTTACATTTCTATTACATTTTTTTCTGTAATGTGTTATACAATATCTATAATAATACCTTTAATTGTTTCTTTTAAATGCTTAGAAAAAATTCTTAACATAATTTCTTCATTAATTATTTAAATTCGAGAAAATAAATCTAATTTTATCAAATAAATAATAATTTTACTTCTCAACGGATTCGGTATTTACGAACATTTATATTAAAAGATACTCGGAAGCATTGGGAAGGAATGTAACCATTTTTCAAGCGGTGATATACGCGATAGATAAATGCGCCAGTTTCAACCTTGAACGCAACTACCAGAACCATTGAATTGACAGCTAGGCAACTATAATAGCATTCATGTCTTACCAGGTGACATATAAACGGGTATTCGAGTGCATTCACAAGCTGAACATACTTGGCAAGAACAATCAGGTGCACTTAATATGGATTGCGAGGTACGCTGAAAGCCTAAGTAATAAGGTGGCAGTTAAACTTGCAAAGAAAGACGCGGCTTCGATAACGATGAACCACTTTAATTGTCTTTAAGAAATTGGTACTATTGTGCATATACTTGAACGGTGATATATCTCGACAAGCGGCCTGTGACTGTGAAGAGTTTGCCATGACGAAAGGGGGGCGAAATCCAATAAACTGTTGCTATATCTTTGCTCATAACTACATATAAAGCTATTTCTTTTGCTAAAAGAAGTTGTGGCTATTGCGTTTATAGTTCAAAGTTAGTATGTTCCGGCAAGCGGACTGTGGAGGAGTTGCCATAACGAAGATTGGGTGACACCCATTATTAATTTTATGTTTCTGCCTCTGTTTAGTTGCTTTAGTTTCCTTATCGGCATAATAATAATAATAGCTTGAATTATGGAATCTCCTTAACTTTATTTGGTTGACCACAAATCTTACCAAATAAAGCACATGAAGTTATAGTCAAAAAACAATATTTAGTGAAGCTTACCTCCACTGGCAACTTGAAGCAATCGCAATGGATTATCGATGTCTTGGAAGTGTTGGCAGTGTTGATACTTATATTAGTAAGCTCCCTTTTAATCTAAACTATCCTAATTTCTTATTAAGTTATTATAAGTTATGCGGTAAATGTCTAAAAACTTCCACAATCTCAAAGACTATAATAATCTAATTTTATGAAAATTAATTTGGAGGCGGTAAAGTTTTCCTCTTCAAATTCACTTCATGTAAAATATTAAAACATAATCACATTTCGAATTATGTAAATTTAAAATTGTGGTTGTAAAGATATATTAAATATTTGTATAAAAATTGAATTTTATCGCCGATAAAATATGTTACGGAACCCATAATTAACTTCATTTAATATGTGCTCTCATTTGTATAAAAATTTTTGGCTGCCGGTACACTAAATCACTCAATTAGAAAATTCCAAGAAATTGTTAAAGTTAAAAAAACACATCTCAAACGGTTCAAACTCGTGTCTGACTTCACGCCCTCGTATCGTGTTATAATGGATACAGAGATACAAGCTAATATACATACAGCCAGCCACAATGATAATAATTGATCAAATCAAAGGGTAAAATAAATTATTATCGGCGACTAAAAGAACAGCAAAAAAACCTAACAAAAAAGGAGTAAGAGTAAAAGTTTTTACCACGTGTATAAAAAGTTGACTAGGATTCATGAGAAGGCTCATGTTTGCTCGATGCACAATAATCAATCTTTTCAAGGGTTAAATAAATAGAACACCATATCTCAGTATTGGCCTCTTTAATTCGAGTTGTATGAGACCATGTATGAGAGTGCAAATGCAAGCAGCATTCGAATAAGGAAAATATTATTGTATAATGTATGACGCGGACGCAAGGACTTAGAAAAGGATGTACTGGATAAATATAAAGAGGAACGTTACTTTAATGATTTCTCACAATGCACAATGAAAGAAGAATGTGTAGGCGTTTTCTATTAATTATATAAAGAAGAATTATTATAAAATTGTATGTTTGTTATTAACGCATTCAAAATATTCATAAATCCTGAAATTCGGAGGATTTTTTAAGTTTATAATTAAATTTTTTTATTCATATCAAGACATCCTTAATGAAATAGATATTAAAACTCCACTACAAATTCGACTACTGCGGAATATTTAGGTGCTTCTACCTAATTTGCCCTTGACTCCTCTGCTGAGTAGAAAACACCTTGCCGTGTAACTGTAAAATTTTGTACCTTGGCACAAATTATAAATGCTTAACGCCTCATTAAGTCTTATGACCACACGCGTGTCCTTTTTTGCAAGTTTTTTTAAAAACCACTTCGAGCTCATTCAAGCTAAACTGCTACTTTCGGGTTGGTGTTGATGTTGATGTGGTTGCTGTTGTTTATGTAAATATGTCGTGAAGTTTTCGGTTGATAAATTTGATGAAAAGATTTTATTTTTGAGATTTTTATTATTGTCAAAAACATTTTTTAATATATTTTTAATAACAGTTCTAGATATTTATTGTATTAGTTCATATCTATATTTGATGTATTTTATTGTATTATTGTTTTGTGGATGAATTATAGAATAGGGATTTTTATTGTGGTGAAGAGGTGGAATGCTTTATGCAACGTCAAACCAACCGTCGCCGGAATGGTGTATCCGACTTCTACTTTGTAGTAGGAGTCCCCCGGAATTGCTTTCGCATTACTTCAGGGAGGATCCCTTATAAATTGGCCATCCATGTCATATGCTTCTCGTAAAACTTGCGCCCACGCTCCCACTCCTGATACGATTTGGAAAATCATCAGATTGCACTTCCTTTTAGATTCGTTTGCGTCCAGAATTGGAATAATGAAACGATAGCAACTCCTGAACTAGAATGGTACACATATGTTAATTCAAGGGAATATATATTATTTCATATATTTTTACTTTAACGAATAAACTACAAACAATGAGTTTAAAAGAATGTGGGTGTTTATCAGTTTTCCTGATGGTTAAAATTTAGAGTGGGTTATCAACTTAGAGTAGTCTTAGAAAGTCTATGTCTTGCGAAAGCAGAGCACTGTAACGGAAGATGTATTGATGATTCCTCTTCATCATCCTCCATGCAATGTCTACAAAGCAAAGAGTCTCTGATATGATGTTTGTATTTATGATCAGTTTATAGATATTTCTTCAAATATAGAATTGTGTACATGAAAAAGAAATATAGGTGATATACTTTAACTATATTGGATTAAAATTGAATTAAAGTTAAACTATTAGAGCATGATTTGACGAGAGAATAATTTGGTACTAAAATTTTCTATAAAAATATAGTGTCAAAACTAAAAACATTGTGAGACATTGTCAATTTGCAGACAAACATATAAGAGCTGAGCTTTTCAAAATTTTAGACGATCGAGATATCCCAAAAAGTTGGAGAGTTTATATTTGCAGGATATTCGTTAAATAAATTAAAGAAGAGAAAATTTTACTCTTCATCATTTCTAATTTGTACTGACAATAATGTTGACTCATAAAAATTTAAACCAACTATTTTTAGACACTAATATCATTTCACTTTAAATATCGAACACGAATTATTTACTAATTTTTCGATCTTTTAAAGAAACTCATACAAATTATTCATTTCTATTACTACATACATACATACATATACGTACTATAAAAACTTACATAACATACAGTATTAAAATTGAAATTAATTGAAGTAAAAATATTCACACGTTTTTAAAACAGTTTTTCACTTCAATCATCAGTACTAATCCAATTAAATGATACGCCTTTTACAGACATTGCAAAAAATTATATGTAAGTTACGTTCATAGATCATTAATCAAATTCAAAAACAACTACATACATATGTACATAAATTTGTTTCCAAATTATTCGAAAGAGATTATATGAAGTAAATACGAATACATATGAAAAAATCAAAGATGATTCTCAAAATAATTATGCGTTTAATTCAATTGTTGTGAAATATATTATATGGTACGTTCAGTGAAAGCAGTTGCACAAATTTTACAAGTGTGCTGCTAAAACTAAATAACATCAATAAATGTGCTTTCATTTTGATTGAATATAAATTTTATTAGTTTTATTTATTGATTTCGTTTTTCTTTTGATATCGAACACTACGTTTACGCTAGTCTTAAAATCACTTCTAACTATTGATATTAAAGATATGTTGAATGGTGTTTAATGCAGCAAAGCAATAAAAGAAACGTTGGCAACTCTATACAAACACAACGTGTACGTAGCTTTGATTCTTTCTACTGTTGTGCGGGTCTGCTGTTTGTGTTGTTTCGATTTAATTATCACAAAATGCCGACAATTGGAGTTAAACGTGATTTATTATTTGAAGCGTTGGGGAAGATTTACAGTAAATTTATTATATTCTATCTATTACAATTGAAATGAAACTACATTTTCCTTTTAGCGGATGATGAATTTCAGCAGTTATGTTTTGCATTTGGCTTGGAATTGGATGAAGTGGTATGTAGTTTCAAATGTGAAAAATACTGTATATTTATCTCAAAAAAACAAATAACTTTTCCAGACATCTGAAAAACAAATGCTTACGAAAGAACAAGGTGATGTTGCTGCCGCTGCCGACGCATCTGAAGAAATTATTTACAGAATAGATATACCAGCAAACCGTTATGACTTGTTATGTTTGGAAGGTTTAGTTACTGGCTTGTTGGTATTTCAGGGCAAGTAAGTTATTTCCATGTAATATTATATTTTATTCTTTTCATAACATAATATTTATGTAGAATTAAACCACCTCAATTCAAGCTGACGGAACCTTCAGCACGACAAGTACTTAAAATTTCACCCGAAACAGGGTTAATTCGCCCCTTTGCGGTAGCTGCTGTTTTGCGTAACATAAATCTTTCGCAAGCAGCATATGATAGCTTTATTGATTTGCAAGATAAATTGCATCAGAATATTTGTCGTCGACGTACGTTAGTCGCCATTGGCACACATGACTTGGACACCTTACAAGGACCATTTAGCTATGAGGCTCGCAAACCGGAAGACATACAATTCGTGCCTCTAAACCAAACGCGTCAAATGAATGGCCATGAATTAATGGACTTTTATTCAACACATGCGCAACTAAAACAATATTTACCTATTATACGTGATTCACCAGTTTATCCAGTAATTTACGATGTCAATGGTGTAGTATTGTCATTGCCACCAATTATAAATAGTGATCATTCGAAAATCTCTATAAAAACACGTAATGTTTTTATCGAATGCACTGCAACTGATTTAACCAAAGCAAAAGTAGTTTTGGACACTTTAGTCTGTATGTTTTCAGCACATTGTGCAGAAAAATTCTCTATAGAACCGTGCGATGTTGTACAAGTTGATGGTTCTACTGTAACTTATCCTGAATTAAAAGTACGCACTGAACTCGTATCAGCAAAAAAAGCAAATGCTGCAATTGGTTTGTCTTGTGACACTAACCAGTTAGCGGATATGCTAACACGTATGTATTTGGAAACTAAAGTCGATGGTGACGATAGTTTAGTTGTTAAAATACCACCTACAAGACATGATGTTATACATGCGTGTGATATATATGAGGATGTCGCAATTGCTTATGGCTATAATAACATTAAAAAGTCATTACCTGCCTTTATGCATATAGCAAAACAATTTCCATTAAATAAACTGACGGATTTACTGCGTGAACAAGTTGCTCAAGCAGGTTTTACGGAAGGGTTAACATTCACACTTTGTTCAAGAGATGATATTGCGAAAAAGCTGAATAAAGATATCGATGCTATAGCAGCAGTACATATATCTAATCCAAAAACACTTGAATTCCAAGTTGTACGCACAACACTACTACCGGGTCTATTAAAAACTTTAGTAGCCAATCGTAAAATGCCGCTGCCCTTAAAACTATTTGAAATAAGTGATGTAGTCATTGCTGATGAAAATAGCGAGGTTGGTGCACGTAATGAACGTCGATTATGTGCTATCAATTGTAATAAAACTGCAGGCTTTGAAGTAGTTCACGGTTTGCTGGATCGTGTAATGCAGTTACTGGAAGTACCATGGAAAAGTGGTAACACTAAATCTGGTTACTACTTACAATCGACTGAAGGTAAAGTTTACAAAATTTTATAAGAGTATATAAATTAATTTTATGTTTCTTACAGATATTAGTTATTTCCCTGGCCGCTGTGCTAACGTAATGTATAACGACGTAGCAATTGGTAAAATTGGCGTGTTACATCCAACAGTGTTGCAGGCTTTTGAATTAACGACTCCCTGCTCTGTGGTTGAATTTAATATCGAACCATTTGTCTAAAGATTTAAAACTAACTATATCAAAAACATAGTTTTTGTATTCAACACATATGTGTTATAAATAAATAAAATCTTAACTTATTGAATTATTGTAGTTTGAGTAATTTAAAACCTAAATAATAATTTTGTATCTTTTTATTTACAAAAAAATTAATATCTATGATTTAATTAATTATATATTTAATGACTTAAATTAATAGGCGTAAAAGTCTGAAAATACGTCAAGCTTTCACTTACAGAACCGGCAGATCCAGGAAGCCTAGTTTATTTATCTTAAAATGCATTTATATTCACATTTTGTAGTTTTCCTATGTGGGATATGACACAAAACCAAAATATTTCTATCGTTTTACTAATCATGGTTTTACTGATTATCTATGTAGAACTTTTAGTTGTGTCCTATTCAATTTGCATGTAATGAATTAACAGAACAATTGACTTTAAAATGTAACCAAATAAAGTAAGGAAGGGGTAATTTACTGTTATCTTATTTCTTTATACAACCACTTAAATAGGTCAGAACCTTGAATCTAGATGAAAGGCATTACATTACGAATATATCAGTGAGATATTAATTGATTTTAACCAAGATCAAAACGAAGAAACCTGACCAATTCTAAAGAGTGGATAATGAGTCAAAACCATCACGAATGGTTTCATAATGCTTTAAACTGTTAGAATACAACCATATTAAGACCTAGAACAATTTTTTTCTTCTAAATTGTGGTCACGAACACGTGTTCTAATCCAATCGGCAAAATTCAGATCTCAACAAGCTAGTGCATTTGCTGAATAGCATATTCTCTTCACAAGATCATCATTAATAGCCTGTTTGTTTTAATAATATATATTATAAAAATCTTAACGAGAAAGAAATGGACAATCGATTATGAAACTGTGATAAATTAAACAGTACAGTCAGCGGTATTAACATGAACTCTTGAATTAATTAGCGTACCTAGCTAAAGTACTAAGATATATCAATATTTGTTTACTATTTTTTCTCAATCTGTCGTCTGTTAAGAAACTTGCAAATTTTTTTGTACTCTTATTCAGTTCAGCTAAGCTTATAAACAAACAATGAGCTTTCATTGCAATGATTTATTATAATCTTTAAATCTGCTAATTTAAGTAAAGAGAATTGATTTATGCCTTTGATTGATGTAGATTATAGATATCTAGAAACACGTGTACGTGTAATATTTATTTATATTTTAAAAGCTTGAAACATAATACTTCCAATATATAAACAAGAATAATATTATTGTCGAATATAAGAAAAATCGTTCACTTTCTGTTCATTTTATTATAATTCATTTTATTTATTAATCAAATTCCCTCATTTAAATTAAATCAGTCTTCAATTTAGCATAAATATATATGTATATCCAGGTAAATAACAATTAAAGTGCTACTTAAAAGTACTTAACCGAGTATAGAAAAAGACTATATATTAGAAACTTCTACCAAGTAGTACTAAAATAAAAAAAACAAGAGAATATCATAAAAACAAATTTTGTGTAGAAAACTTCGATGTAAATGTTCCTAATTTTAAAATAAAATAAGTCACAAGGCAGTAACACTCATCATTTCTGAAGAGCCATTTTCGCAGACTATCAAATTTTTAATGTAACCAATATATTTACAAAATCAAACTTCTTTGTGTTTGAAGGTGAGTATCCAAATTGCCGCATTGTCTTCATGACTATTCGAAGGCAGTCTGTCTCTGGGTTTCCTGACAAATCCGCAAACAATGCCAGAAACTGAGTAAACGTAGTAAAGAGTGAAAATAAAGCATAACTTCGTTACGAGTGCGCATTTTAATTCAAATTAATCACAAACGCTGTGAATGGCATGTTCTTATCCAGTACAACCGAGCACAGTCCATGCCTACAATTCACAACGAATTGTAGGCCTGCGAATTTTACTTAGTATGGCCGGCCTCAAGCAAAAATATTAATTCTTAAAAAACAATTTAGTGTTGTTTTTAAGTCCAATAATTTTAAATATAACTATTGTAACTATTTATTAATAAATTTCAAACAAATGTTTTTATTCCATATAATCTTATAGGCATATTTATTAGTTTATTTAAATATGTAATATTTTTCATATTGAATTTTTTATTTCTTCTTATATTTTTGCATAATAATAGTTATAATAAGAATAAGCATGACCATAATAATAAAATGTATTTTTATATAAGATATTTTGGGCATAGTAATAATAATAATATTAATAATAATTATAAATGTATTTCTATATTTTATTCACTTACTTTTGCATTTTTTTTTTATTTTTAAAGTATTTATTTTTATATGCATACACGTACGTAAATTAATTTACGCGTTAGTATAGCATACATATTTCTATTTATTTAATTATATTTTTAATTGATGTGCAAAAGATTTATATTTCTTTTTTCGTATTGAAAAATAATATAAATACAAACTAATTCAAATCAAAAATATATATAAAAAATAATAGTTTTTTTTTCAACAATTTAGCGCAACATATTCGTTTTTGATGTATATATACATACATATATATATTAGAAAGTATGTATATATATATATATATATGATTATATATATATATAATTCATGTATAATAGGTCTTCAAATCACTACCTTCTCGGACAACTTCAAATCGATTTCAGTATTTAAATATGTAACAATTATATCTTCATTAAATATATATCAAAGTAGCGAATTATTCAATTACTGTTTATAGTTTTGTGTATAAGGTTTAAGTATACATACAGTACTATGTACCCTATTCATAAATAAAGTAGCAGTAAAATTAGTGTGTATGCATGTGTGTATTATATATACGTGTTTAGGTTATAATAGTTGATTGAATATATTATATAATATAAAGAGCAATAAATTTGCAGTTTCGTATATTGCATTTTCAGCTGCAGTTTTTTTTTTAAATAAAAATTTTAGAACTGTTTTATGTTTTTCGTTTTTTTAAAAGCCTTAAATAATGTTTAATTGTGTGTATGGTTCTTGTGTTTCCAAACATTATTTCATTATCTTGTTATTAATGCGTGCAGCGTGATTTTGTTTTAAATATTGTATAGTTTTCAAACTTCCACCTTCAATTTTCAATCCTTGTTAAATTTATAATAAATCCATTTATTTTCTGTTCATTACAATTTTCTTAAAATAATTTTCTTTACTAATTCAAATTATAGAAGAAAAAAGAATACGCATAACGCATAACGCATAGACAAGAATGGTTTCAATAGTCATCTTTTTGTTTTTGTTTTTGTTTTCGTTTTTGTTTTTGTTTTTCTATGTTGATAGGTTGTTCGCTTCTTTTTATTGTTGAACGCTAATGTTCCTTTCCTCTATTTGCCATTAATTAGTCCAATTGGTTGGCCATGACTGTGAATATAAGAAATTAATTGTTGAGTTTTTAATACAATAAAATATCAATATATTAAACTACATTCTAATTTTCAACACATAAAAAAAAGAAGAAAATATTAGAGGAGTTCTCAGAGTTTAGATATCTAATTGACCAAAAAAAATTGATTTGACTTTTGCTAGTACTGAATAGCTTTCTATTCATCTGCACAAATTCAGCAATATTGATGTTGAATATTGTGTACATCTAGATGTCTAGTATATAGCCAATGTGTGTCTAAACTGGTCACGAGCTTAAAGATATTCTCTCTTGATAGACTGGGAATTTTACTTGATTGCTTTTTAACAAGTTTCGGATAAGATAAGAGATGTCTTTGATTACTATATTACGTACAAGTAAATTTTTTAAAATAAATCACACTAAAGACTTAAATTTCAAAAGATAACGAAGCGACAGACAGACGAGCATATATTATATTTTAAATTGATTCTACTTAAAATAATATTAATAATAATAAATATTTCTTACATGTTTATCATGCTGATCCCACATTTCTCCTTTATCCGGCATATGACTCATGTCAGTTGCATGTCCAACAAACTGTGGATATTGATAGTTTGGTAATAAATTCATTTGCTGTGTTTGATTCAAATTTGGTGGCTGCATAGACATGTGATAATCCATTGGCATCTAAAAGTGAAACAATGATTTTGTGTATTTCTTTTCATTTTTCATATAATTTGGTTGGTTTGATTGGATACTTACATGAAAGGGATCTTGCTGATGATGGTATTCAGTAGGACCCATTCCCAACCCTGCTCCTGGTGTTATATTTGCACCTCCACCATAATAGCGATATTGTTGTTTCATAAGCCAATTTGAATGTTGAGATGCTTGTTTTTCTAACAGCCACTGTGGGACGAGTTGTCCTGTGGCACCCATAGCATTGGGTCCGCAAACACCAGATAAATTATCTTCAAGTGATAGACCGGAACCTGGGACACCCATATTTGGGTAATTAAATTTCCAAGTGGCACGTTCTGTACCAATCGGCCGTGGCATCTTGCGTAAATCTTCTGATTGTTGTTGTTGTGATGGTTGCTGTGCTTGATTTTGTATCAAGCCATTACCTTGCGCTCCGGAACCCTGATTTGGAGACATTGCAGCTGGAGAACCACCACTGCCAACATTACCAGGCATTCCATTTTCTAAATTAATCATATCTCGAGCATTTTGTACATAGCCGCCGTATTCACTATTGCTTCCAACACCATACCAACGTTGGTTTGGCATATGGCCGCTTGGTGGTTGTGATTGAGGACGTCCTGGTGCCAATGATTTACCGGGAATAAAATTTGGATTTGCTTGCTGCTGTTGATGAAAAATACCTGTACCAATGGGTGGTTGCTGCGAGACTGGCTGTTGTGTTTTCGGTTGTGAAAATGCCGATGCACGTGGATTTAAACGTGATGTTAAACTTGTTGGTGTAGGATTCGTTGTGTTGTATGCTGCACCAACATTTGCATCCATATGATAATTCATTTGATGCGTATTAGCATTCATATTTTGTTGTGTGGGTGCTACAAGATGATCGTAAAAACCAATTGCACCAGAACCGTTTGCACGACCTGGAGTATTTGAACCAATTGGCCCAAAATTCATAGGTGTTGATGAAGCATCAAGTGAAGCAACGGGAGCAGTAGTAGGCGGTGTATGTCTGGCATTTGTAATGTTCGACCCGACTGTGCCTGGTCTGTGCTGACTACTTGCTGGCCGTTGAATTGCTAAGCCGCTTGGAGGTGCTGTACTCCCTGAGTTTTGCCCAATTGCTTGAGGAGGTTTAATGACACCAGGGGAGATTGAAGCATTACTAGAGGCAGATGTTGACTGCGATGCTTGTAAAGAATTGGCGTTTGTGTTTGTAGTCGAGACATTTTCAATTGTTGAAATTGCAATAGTTGGCGATATAGCAGAAGCATTTCCAACAGTTGTATTCACAGGCATAATATTTATTGGTTGCTGACCCGAATTTACACCCGATGGTAGAGATCCAATAGGTGCTGTAATAACACTACCTGGTGGTGATGTAGAAAGGCTAGATGATGCTTTCGAACTGCCCACTGGTGAACTTAAAATATTTCTATTGTAACCAGGAGCTTTAGAAGCATCAGCTTTTGGTAAATTCTCATTAGCCAACCCAGTATTCGATGAATATATCTGTTTATTTTCACCTCCCCATTGAGATTTATAAGTGTTATCATTAAATAAAGAATATTCATTGCTAAGATTTGTAGCAATCTGTGTACCAAAGTTTGATGGTTGTGCAATTGAAGCGTTATTAGCGTTATTTGCTCCGGAAGCTCCACCAGCACTATCGTTAACACCAGTTTGATTTTGTGAAATTTTAGATTGACCTATAGATGTAGTTGTTTGTTGTTGCGTCACATCCTGTGGAAGAGTTTGTGTATTTGGCATTGGTGAAACATTACGTTTTGGTGGACCAATGGGTGTAACTGGGCGTGTTGTGTTTACATTGTTTTGGGATGCTGCAGCCGCAGCTGCAGCAGCTGCATTAACAGCAGCAACATCAGCTACATTAAATGTGCCAATAGGTCCAGATAAAGTATTGTTATTACTGACAAGATGTGATATTGATGACAAAGAGCTTGGTATCGGTTTACCACGTCCATATGGCGCTGTGGTACCAACAATTCTCCCTTCGGTTTTCTTAGGAGAAGCATTATGAATTCCACCTGTTAATTTCGCTGCAAAAGTCTGAGAGCTCACAGTATTGTTACCATTATTGTTGTTGCTTATAAATGCTGTGGGCAGTTGTTTTGTATTTGAACTCTTTTGCGATGCTATAACGTTATTAAAATTAGGAGTAGTTTTTGTGACATTGGGTAATGTTTCCAGTCCACCAGGCTTGTGCTTTTGAGTACTAGTAATACTGCTAGTACTAGCTTGAGTACTGCAGCCACGTGTTGGTGGTTGCTGAGAATAAAACGCTTTCGCAGATTGACTACGTCCGGTTGAAATTTTAGAAGAAATAGCTGTTTGAGATTTTGGAATTAAGTTATTATGTTTCGTGCTAGCAATACTTGTCTTGGTAACAGTTGTTGTCATTGAAGTTGAGACACTTGTTGTGACAGTACTTGTAGTTGGTGTAACCTGATATGAGCATGTTGGAGCAGAGGGTGTTGATGAAGTCGATGAAGAAGAAGACGATGTTTGTAATGCAGTTTTGTTGTCCCACGTGCCAACAGTCATAGGTAAAGTAGATGCTTTTATGCTTGTATTCATACGTGGCAACATTTGTAATATATCGACATCGGGATCTTTAATTAGAGCCAAAATAAGCATATGAGCTTGTTTTGTTGCATCAGGAAGACCTTTTATTGTTATGCTTCTTTCTGATTGATTTTTTCCTTGTTTTTCAACTTCAATGTGTGCACCTGTTGTCGCACGAATAGCATTTATATTACTGCCTGCTCGTCCAATTACCCGAGAAATTGCATTGACCGGCACTTGAACTTTCTTGCATGTCATTTCTGGTACTGCTGTCGTAGTAGATGTGACAGAGGATAACACTGTTGATGCATTAGTAGATGTAGTAGTGTTTTGTTGTGTTGAACTTTTTCTTACTACTTCCTTCCAACCATCTTCACCACGTTTAGGTGGACTCGGTTTGTTAACAGTTTCACGTGGTAATAAGCTATCATCTGGCTTTTTTGTGTCTTCAGTTGTGTATGTTGCGTTACGTGAACTACAAAAAACTAACGATTTGCGATTGCCCGTTTGATTTGGGTTTGTAGGTGGTGCATCAAGTTTTTCCAATTTTGGTTTTTCAGTTTGTGGTTGTTGTTGTTGTTGTTTAGGAGCAGAAATTATTTCTTTAGGTGCTAAATTTTCTTTTTCGCGCTGTTTATTATCTTTTTTCTTATTTGACATGGTTTCATCTTTTTGCTTATTTGTACCATCACCTTTTTTGGTCACAGATGCAGGATTAACTTTAGTGGATTCTAAACTTGATTTCTTAACGTTTTTCATTTGCTGTTCTTCTTTTCTAGATTGTTTAGGTGAAGCTTTTGTAACTGCCTCTTCAGCAACAGGACTACTATTGCGAACGTTTCGTGTATTACAATTTGCTACAGTTTGTGGTTGTTGAATGTTCTGTTGCGCATTTTTCTTCTTTTTATTTTTATTCTTTCCACTTTTTTCTTGATTGGGTACCATACCAGCTTTTAATTCTGCACTAGAACA